ATGTAGCTGCGTTTCTCGCCATAGTGAAGAACGGGTGCCTTGAGCTGGACGAGCGCCACGTCAAAGCGGCCCGTCGCCAAAAGAGCGTCGACCAAAGTAACGTCCTGTGGCCCAAGGTCCGAAAATGAAGCGATGCGGCACCGATCGCAGGTCTTGATGCGAACGCCAATTCGCTGCATTCGGAGCGGCGGACGCTCGGCGATCGCCGTCAAGGCGGCGAGGGCGGCGTCGCGGGTCGGCGGCACTTTGACGAAGTCGCCATCGACAGCCACCAGCGCGTAGACAAGCACAACGCGACGACGGGACGTGATATGTGCCGACGTGATGGTTGCATCCGAGAACGTCGCCAAGACTTGTGCCGTCAACGGCGATGGACACTGCGTTGTCGAGTGACCGCCGCGGGCAACTGTCATCGTGCCGCCTTCTTCCGATGTCGGCAGCGTGACGAGGAGCGTCCCAAAGGCGTAAGCAATGTTTGGTCGCGGTGTAAGGCTCGCCGACGAGCCGTGCGCATCCACGCAAAGATGAGAGTAGACGGCCCCGACTCGGATGCTGGTGACACCAAGCGTCTTTTGAACAGCGGGCAACAAGCTCGTTTGGAGAAGCGATGTCCAGGCAGCCTTGTTGGCGATGCGAACGCAAGTCGCTGGAAGGATGCAGTGGTGGGCGTAGCGCTCTGCAAATTGCTGGCTTTGATAGTGCGTCATCGGCCACGAGAGAGCACCGTCGACGCCGTCGATGGCGAGCTGCGGCTGCAAGTGCCACGCGAGCGCACTCTGGTAGACGTAGTTTGCCGATTGGTGCAGCATCTCCACGGCTGCTTCGTACGCAGAGAGCTCTGGGTGGATCTTAGCGCTCACCATGATGATCGATGGCTTCTTACTTCGTGCCACAGTTGGCGCTGCGTTGTCCATACCCATCGAGAAAACGCCGTTGGAACCAGCACTCTGTCACATTGCACTTGAGATCATATTTTGTTTTTGGACGATCCAGATTGGAAGCAGCAGGTCCCACGTCCCAGAAACGAAGCAATTTGCGACTCCCTTTGCGAGTGTACATTCACTAGGACGCTCGTCGGGCGAAAGTATCGCGAGTACAGGCGCCGCTGCGAACTGAATGAGTCACTATTGTGTGTGCCAACCAAATCGGGCTGAGTGCCATGCGCGAGGTCGTCAGACATAGCAAGCTCGTTACGAACGAGTCGCTAAAGCACGAGCGCGGCAGAAGTACAATCCCAAGTCCGAGTCGAACCAGGGCCGAGATTTCAAATGGTTCGACTGCCTTTAGTGTCGACAGGACGCGAATATTCAACGCCCCTATCAGTGTCCACAGCCTAGGAATCCACGAGGATCGTTCCATCATCGTGTTCATCCCAACGACTCTCTTATAAATATGCTAGACCGAATCTGGTCCTTGACGCAGCCGCTCCAGGAGCAGCGTCTGGACAAGGTCCTTGAACTGCTTTGCTTGGTGGACCTGGCTCACGGCAAAGTGTTGGCGCATGAGACGCACGGCGTCATCAACGTTGCGCGGCCTCAATTGCAGCATGGCCGCGAGGTCTAGAATCGGCACGAACCCGCGGGCCGAGCACGGGTGGCCCACGACATCGAGCATGCGCACGCGCGTGCGTCCATCGGGCAGCGGGTCAACGACGAGCCTACAGCACTCGGATGCATTCCTTTCTCTTTACAAACTGCGACGCTGTACCAGCCTTTTGAGTCGAGCGTCCAAACCGAGCTCGCAATCGGATGGGCTTCGTCCTTGACGATCGAGCGTTTGACCATGACAGCGCGCCGTGTGCCGGATAGGAACGTGCCATAGAGGACGTTGCCGAATATGCTTTGGCGGTCCGGGCGGCCCATCTCTTCTTGGACGTA